AACTTTTTTTTGGAGTGACTTTGACCTTGATGAGAATCTTCACCAAGTTACAGATGTAGTTCACTAGTTGGCCACAAGAGGGTGACAGAGTCAGAGTTTTGAGTCCCTCTTTTTCACCTTTAACACTGTGGCCCAGTTTCCCTTCATGCTGCTGATTAAACAGAAGTTCAGATCCACCATCTTCCTCTCTGTTTTTCTGTTGCACGTCCATCGAATCTCCTATAAAGTTGAAAGACAGTTGAAATATGTGGTCAAGTAAAATTAAACATTGAAGCACCTTCATGTTTTCTGCTTTATTTGAGACATACAGATTTTCAAAGCTTCACAGATATGAATATATTGTATTAATAGCTTTCAAAGAACAATGAGTAAACATGACTATGAAAATGAGGTGACTCAACAAACGTGGGTTTTTAACATAACTTTGGTCACCAGAGTTCTATAGGGACGATTTTATCTGTGAACTGTCTATTAGAATGTGGTCTGTTCAGTACTTCATCATCATAGACAGATAAAGACTAAATATATTATATATAAGATATGCCTTAATATTACTGGGCAATGATGACTTGACTTTATTAAATATTAAATGCACTTCGAACTAGAGCCATATTTAGTCACTAAAGTGAACATTTATGTGCTGATCGTTGGATAACCTGCAGTTAAGGCTTTGCTTAAAGGAAATCAACACGTAAAACTTTAATCTGGTAAAAAAGTTCCTCTTGTCTCTGACCGACAGTCTTAGGACCGGATTTATAAAGACACCTTTGTTCTTTTTACACTCCGCTCTATTTGAACGGTTTCTATGGTAACTCTGCTGGTATAATTGGCTGTTATTAAAGTTCACTTTGTAACATAGTTAACTTTTTAAATTCATTATTTCTGTTAACAGTGTTAGATCTGCAAGCACAGTTTGTGTCGTTACTATAGGTTTATTGGATCAAATAGTTATTAAAATGGTTAGATCTGCTTACTTAGTTAGTAGGTCATATTTTTATCATGTAGGTAGGTGCGTTCCTTCTAAACGTAACAAACCCACCAACAAAATACCACAGAATCAAAGCTGTAAACTTAATAACTAAATAAGAATAATTCAGGGCATCATTTAAAGGCATTTATGGAGCGATTATGATGCAGCTCTGGGCCAAAGACTGTCCCTTTCCATTCATCTCCCTAAGACTCATTTAAATATGGCCGACGTATCGAAGGATGTGTCCTTCATGGCCAATCATTTCCCAGGATTCAGTACTGGACTGGTTAAGGCAAATATAGAGGATAAAATCAAAATAATACACTTTCTCTGACACAAAATAAACTTTTAACATAAGTAGGATTGTTGATCTCAGACATGTTTTGGGTTTATTACAACTTAAATAAAGAAAATACAAAATCGTCTGATTCTCGGCTCACCCTGTGAACGTACCGCTGGGTTTAAAGTTGTAGGGAAGTCGTATTAAATTGTCATGTATATAAATATACTCTTTATTGGACCGTATTGTCTCAAAATTTAGAAAATTTCTATTTAGCAAAAAATCCTGCCTTAAAATCTGTGTTTCTTTTTCATTATCTTCTGCAGGCCAGTTAGTTCTACGTCAGCCTGAACGCCTAAATTCAGCCAATCATATATCAACGCTCATTTGTCAATCACATTTTTTTAATCATAGCATCTTCATTCATATGTCGCAGCTAATATATGCAACGTCAGTCTGGATTTTCTAGGGACTCACAGCAGTTTCCCGCCAAAGTGCATGGGGGAGCCTTTTTGCGAACTTGCAAGAACTTCGGCAGATGGTCACGAGGACTACTTTTTGACAGAGACCTTGACATCTTTATATAATTTGTCTGAGGCATCGTCCTGTGGTTGTACTTCCGAACCTCTTCGATTAACCTTTCGTCGTAGTTGTCCATTGTAGTTGTTCCTTTGTTTTTAAAAATGGCGCGCCCCCGGTACCGAATCGAGAAGGACGACCACAGACAGGCGGAAAGGCATACCAAGGTCCGATCACAGCTGCTTTTTGTCTGTGCGCTTTCGCTTGAGGTCTGCGTGGGTTTGCAACCGTCCGACCCGTAGTCATGATTTTTTTCAGGTGCGCAATGACGGTTGCAGAACCTCTGCGAGGGGGGCGTTGTCGGGCACAAAGACAGATTTGACGGTAGCAGAGGCTATGCGTCAGAAGCATAAATTAGCCTTAAGCTTGATGAACTTTGAGAACAGCTTTTAAACAGGGCGTGCACGAGGAGAAATGGGCCGTGCACGCTCTCGCACGCGTTTAATAGGCGTTCCCTCTCGCAAGTGTGGTTTTTATTTAAAGTGGAGAAGGTGAGTCTTTTAATAAATTCCTGCTCCCAAAGTCAGCTGGCCTTTAGTTTCTAAACATTAGCAATACCTGTGCAGATAATGATGTTTCCCTTTTTGCTCCCGCTGACTTCATTGTTAAACACTTTACTAATCTTATAAATAGCTCACACTGAATCTGCGTCACCCAGTTACAGCTTGCTTACCGTCTTTTATCCAGAGTATGCTGGCTGTTTATCTTTGGTCTGATTTATCGGGTCTTCAAGCTGCCGTCATCAGTCAGTAGTGAAATGAATTAACTATTTTTAAAAACAAGGCAAATATTTGTTTAACACAAATGTTAAGAAGGAGAGCAAAAACTTAAAAAAATTATTCTTTCATTTAAGTATTTTGGACACTTTGCCTCATTGTTGTTGCTATAGGGAACCTTTTTTGTTTGGCAGTAGAAAGATTGAGAAAGTGTTGAGGAGGAATAAAGAGCAAAATGAGCCTGAGGTAAGAATTCAGAGAGAGAAAGATCATGAAGTGGCTCCGAAAAGTCGCTCTCAGTTACCTGATCCACAGGCTCCTAAACCTTCCTGACTGCGAAGGTCAAAA